TCTCTCTCTCTCTCTCTCTCTCTCTCTCTCTCTCTCTATCTCGCTCTCTCCCTGTCTGTCTCTCACTCTTCCCTGTTTGTCTAGCTGTCTCTCTCTCTCGTTCTCGCTCGCGCGCTTGCTATAGATATAGATATAGATAATATACATATATACGTACACGCATGCAGACATATAGATATAATCCGGAGTGAATAATAATAGATCTATATAATGATATAATGAGAGAGAATATGCGCGCTCCATGATGACGCATAGAGACAGTGCGTAAACAGGGCGTTGCTAGGGCAACACGTACTCGCGTATCTCTCCCGCATCTTACAGCGAAGCAACCCACCCATCGTGCGCGGGTCCACACACACGCAGACGTTAGCGCGCTATTAACACTACACACAGCTAGCATACACACGGAGTTAGCTCTACTATGAAGGAATAGGAGGATGTTAGCTTACCTGCGCGGCTACCTGGCTATAGGTGAAGAGACGGAACGCGGGCAGCAGGGAAGGCGTTCCTGTACTCACGCCACGTAGCTACGGAATACTCGCTCTTTCTCTCTGCCTCTCGTTGCTCCCTCCTCATCCGGGGATGCTGCGCCGACGCTGCAATGGTTGCGTCCGTACGCAGGGGTGGTGCGCAGGTCCTGATCGGCCCAAGGATAATCAGGGGGGAGAGGGAGGAGGAGGACGAGGAGGAGGAGGAGGAAGGGAGGGGAGATGGAGGATGATGATGATGAGGGGAGGATGGGAGGGGAAGGAGGTGGAGGATGGGATGGGAGGAAGTGGAGTAGGATGATGGGAGGGGAGGAGGGGATAGGAGAGGAGGGGAGGATAGGAGAGGAGAAGGGGAGGTGGAGGATGAAAGGGGAGGATGGGAGAGGAGAAGATTGAGTAGGAAGAAGAAAGGATGGGAGAAGAGGAAGATGAGGAAGAGGATGAAGAGAAGGATTTGTAACCCTCGTCACATTTCGCTGAGACGGAGTTTTTAAACTCAATGACAGAATGTTTCAAACTGATAATGTAGACGCGATATATTGTAATATTGTACGAAATGTGAGTCAAACGTCACGAACATCATCAACCTTCTCTATATTATATACCGCTGATAATATTAATAATAGTACGAATTTATAGGTATAATTGGTGTATATATATATATCAGGAATAGATAATAGGGAATTCCCTATTATCTA